GTTCAAAGCCAGCCTGGTCTACATAGTGAGTTCCAGGTCAGCTGGGGCTATAGGGAGATCCTGTCTCAAAAAGACAAAACAAAACAAAACAAAATCCACATTGCTAGATTGGCAGTATGAAATGTAAATAAGAATTAGAAGAGAAATGTTAGCTCAAAACTCTACTGAACAGTTAAAATCTTATAGTACGCCAAAAAAAAAAAAAACCAACAAAAAAAAACCACTACCACCAACAATAAGCAAAAAAACAATTATTATGAAACGATGATTGTTTTATAATTTTTAAGCCACAAAAATACCAATTTTATATGGTTCTGCCTAATATATTAAAAGTACCATGTCCTTAGAAGTAGATGCACTATAGCATTATGAACTATGACAATTTTGGTAACATATATACTGTTTCACATTTTACCCAAGGCAGAAAACTTGGGACTAATGGGTTCCTTGTGCCCAGCTGATGTTTATTCTCCTAGAGCAGGTGGGACAAATTGTGAAATACTCTTGCAATGCCAGTGACAAAGGGAAATAAAACTGTTCAGCTGGTTCAGCCAAACGCACTCAGAAAGCATTTCTGCAAGACATCAGAGCTTTGCAGAGGAAGTATCCTGGGCCTTTCGGGAAGATCACACAATCAGCAAAGATAAACCAATCAAGCCAAATCCCACTCGCTCTCATCCATTTCCTGATGCAGCTACAGACTTCTGCCAGGATGGTGTGAAAAACAATATTTAAGGAGAAGTTAGCTGAAGTAGATACAAGTATTTTTCTCTGATTTTAAATGTCTCAAAAAATCTATAAAACACAGGAATACACACGAATCTTCAATTTTGTACCCATCCTTCAATACTCCTAAGTCACCTCTGGGTTGAGCCTGTGGCCCCTGTGGCCCTGTCCTCATTCTGATTGAGTGGAATTATTATGAAGTGAGGTTTGGGTGACAGGTACAAGCCACATTTCCTCACTCCAGCAAGGTAGAAATCTCTAGGACATTGCTGATTTGCCCTCAATGGGCAAAAGAATAGCAAAGGCAAACAGACTCCTCCTATACCCTGGGGAAAGGAATCAACTGCACCTGGGCTCTCCTCCCTAGGAACAGGCAAACAGAAGTGCTGGGCAGAAACAGGTTTTCCTAGAGTCTTCTGCTAAGTTAGGAAGTCCCGCATATGTTTGTTACACATGCAAACACACACACAGTTCATTCACTAGCTCCCCATCGTTGCCTTGTCAGCAATGAAACAGGGTGAGATGAAGGAGGGCCCCAGACATCCCCTCTCAGCTCCACCGCTCAAACAGTATGCCGGGTATCCACCCAGAACTACAACTCAGACAGAACTCCTAAGAACAGGGAGAGAAAGAGGTAGGCTCTTCACCCAGCTGGACTTGACACTTGGTTGCTTTGGGTAGCTACTGTGTGCCTCTGCAGAGATACACACAATTTCACACTCTCCCGTTTTCTAGCATCACGATTTACCCACAGGAATACCTGGGAAGGCTCCACAGGTGTTGGATAAATGGCACTGCATGGTCTGTCTCTTGGGGACAGGCAAGAGTTTTCTCTGGAATGTTTGTGTTTGTCAGACAACAAAGGAGAAGCTGGAAGAGAAATGAAGAATCATCAGTGCTGCAGTAGTATGTGACCTATTTAGAGAAAACCACAGTACAGACCACTGAGGCCACAGTTCCTGGGGCCTGGAAGATTTTTCTGGGCAACTGTAGTCACCACCCCAAACTCTGTACTGACCTCTGGCACTCGAAGGAGCAGAACTTGTAACATTAGGTGAAGCAGAGTGAGTGGAACTCAGGCTTGAGGTAGATGGGCTCGGCTGGAAACACACAGGGAGCTGTTGTCACACACTATTAGAAACTTTAGGTCATAGTGACATTTGAAATAAAACCATCAACATTTACTTTTCCAAATTAGCAAAAAGGAAAAAAAATTAGTACCTCAAAGGCTATTTAGAAATATAGGAAAATCTTACTCATTCAGACTGACAAGGAGCCCTGCCTGAGCTAATGAAGAGCCTGAGGTTTTTATCACTGGTAAGGAATACACTCATAATTGTTTCAGCTTGATTCCCTGACTTTGCACTAGTCAACATCCCTCCCTGCCTGACCATGTATAAAGAGAAACATCTCTAGACTTGGGCATATAAACAGGCGAGTGTTTCTAATTTTATATTTGTGTGTGTGTGTGTGTGTGTGTGTGTGTGTGTGTGGGTGTGTGTGTGTGTGTGGGTGTGTGTGTGTGTGTGGGTGTGTGTGTGTGTGTGGGTGTGTGTGTGTGTGTGGGTGTGTGTGTGTGTGTGGGTGTGTGTGTGTGTGTGGGTGTGTGTGTGTGTGTGGGTGTGTGTGTGTGTGTGTATGTGTGTGTGTGAATGAGCCATGTCCCATGTGTGGAAGTCAGAGGACAACTTGCAGGAGTCACTTCTCTCCTTTCACCATGTGGGTCCTAGAGATCAAACTCTGGTTGTTTGGCAGGCTTGGCAGCAAGGGCCTTAACCCACCGAGCCATTGTAGAAACATGGGAGTGTTTCTAAAAGGCATAGACTCTGCCTTCTCCTTATCTTCAAAACTGTGTGTTCAAAACATACGCTGGGAAACACACTGTGGTCCATTTCCAAAGACAGTGGCAGGGAAAATTCAGTTTTGTTTTATTCAATCATTCTAACACTATATTAGGCTATCTAAACATCTAAATAAAATGTTTTATTATAAGATTTATATTGGCTCGAAAATACCTAAAAACTATATATTTTATTTTGTAACTTTTTGTTACAGAAAATTTTCTGGTATGAATAAAAAAATTTTATAATGGGCCCTTGAACTATGATTTCTTCAGGAGCCACTTAGAAACACTAAGGAGGCAACCAGTGTCATGTCAACAGGTTCTAAGAATCCAGGGCCCTGGGAGCAAAGAATGACCAAGGTAAATTTCAAAGCTAACCCTGTGTAGCTTGCCTGGGCTTTTCCATTGCTTGCTCATGTCTTCTTAAAGTGAGGGGCAGTTTGGACAGAAACATCTGGTGGATTTCAAAGGCCAATACAGCAATAATAGTGCTTATTTAAAAGGTTTGTTCTCAAGTCAGGTTCTTGCTTGAAGGTCTATTCATGAGCACAGCAGAATGAACAGGCACTCTCATGATTGAGACAGAAAAGGAATGAACACGAGCAAACAAAAAGCTAATAAAGTACCTGCATGTTAAAGACTTCATCAGAGCTTTCTGATTGCCCTGTAATATTGCTTACTTCAGCAGAGGCTTGTGAGGACAGTGAGGAGGAAGAATATCGGTTGACAGCTGGGTAACTTAATGGGCTGTTTCAGGGGGAAAAAAAAATTGGTTAACTCAGTCTCGGAATTGTGCTTTATCACATGCTGGCATGGTATAAAACCAAAGGGGAGAAAGATACATCTCATTTTGTTGTCTCCTGTTTGCCTCAATAGACTAGAATGTTTGAGTTTATTTATTTCTCATGCTGTTGCTGTTTTACCAGTGGCAGATGTCTGCAGCTGCCTCACGGCTTAATTATTTCATTAAGAAATAGCAAATTTGATAAATTGTGCAATAAAGAATGAGAGAACCATTCCAGATCATCTTGTGGGGGCTGGCAAATTGCAAGGTAATTCAGAATATGGCTTACCTGCGTCTAGGAATTACCCTGGTACCATCTGGACTCATGGAAGCAGGGGCTGAGTTTCTACACACTCGAGGGCTTCCATTAGGAAAATGGACAGGACTGGCTTGAATACAAGCAGAGAACTCCTAAAGAGATGGTAAAAAGACATTTTATTACAGCAACCCATCTATGAGATACTGTAATCTACTGGCTATACATCCTTAATGTCAGGAAATCTTTACATGGGGACCTATTATAAATGCCAGTACTATTAATCCTTCCCACACGTACATTTTTGTTTTTATAAAGGGTAAATATAGCAAATAGCAGGGGTGCAATTTTATTTTTGTTCCCTGCTGCAATGTGGCAGAAAAGCCAAAAGATGTCACTATTGGATACTTTATCTTCTAACAAATGGCGGTGGCAGACCCCACTCTGTTCTACAGCACCTGGCATACATACCTGTATCCCAAAGCTTGATTTCATCACAAAGAATTGGTCCACAAGTTTTTTGTGAAGGGGTCTCATATCTTGAGGTACAAACTTCTCATGCACAGCCAAACCAAATTCCAGAATCTGTGCCTGGAACACAACACAAGGAAAACCCCATTATCAGTAACTATTTCTCAGCAGGGCTTGCTGTGGACCAATCACTGCAATGTGCACTGAGCATGCATTACTGCTAATCCTCTACATCTGGTAAACAGGAACAATAGTTGGTCTGCAGGTGAAGAAACAGGATCAAGGCAGTCCTACATGTAATGAATAAGAAATAGGGATCTGAATTTGATCTGTCTGATTCCCTCCACTTGATTTTCCCATTTCACTATCCTCAAGTTGCTTTCCTATGCATTTCAGATCTTTAAATATAACCCTTCTTAGTAATTACGTGGCCTTGGTCCCTTCCTTCCCCTCCCTAGGATGGGACAGGGGATGAAGCAGAAACTGTTTCCTATTTGGAGGGTCAAGCAGGTCTCTCTCAGGGACCTCTTCTCTGAATGATATCCCCCCTCTCTCACATTACCATCCTCCTCCTACCCCAACAGATTTTCAGAAATTTCTCGGAGAGAAAGAAAAAAAAAAAGAACAGGAATTCTGTAGTAGTTGCAACACTTTTTGTTTTCTTTTAAAATGTTATTCTTGCTGGGCGTGGTGGCACATGTCTTTAGTCCCAGCACTTGGAAGGCAGAGGCAGGTGGATCTCTGTGAGTTCAAGGCCAGTCTGGTCTACATGGTAAATTCCAGGCAAGCTAGGGCTACAGGGAGACCCTGTCTCAAAAAGACCGAAAAAAAAGGGGAAAAGTCACTTTTTGTTCTTTTAAAATGTTATTCTTGCTGGGCGTGGTGGCACATGTCTTTAGTCCCAGCACTTGGAAGGCAGAGGCAGGTGGATCTCTGTGAGTTCAAGGCCAGTCTGGTCTACATGGTAAATTCCAGGCAAGCTAGGGCTACAGGGAGACCCTGTCTCAAAAAGACCGAAAAAAAAGGGGAAAAGTTATTCTGGGAGCTAGAGAGATGACTCAGCAGTTAATAGCACTGGCTGCTCTTGTTGAGGACCCAGGTTTGGTGCCCAGAGCCTACATGGTGGCTAGCAATTGTCCATAACTCCAGTTCAAGGGGATCTGACACCCTCTTCTGACCTCTGCATGCATGGTACAACATGGTGCACTTACACACATGCAGGCAGTACACTTATATGCATAAAATTTAAATACATATTAAAATGTTATTCTTGGGGGACTGGAGAGATGGCTCAGCAGTTAAGAGCACTAGCTGCACTTGCAGAAAACCCAGATTTTGTTCCCAGCACCCACACGGTAGCTAACAACTGTCTGTAACTCCAGTTCCAGGGGGATCTGATACCCTTTTATGGCTTCTGCACATACACATAAAAAAATAAAAATTTAAAAATGTTATTCTCATTCACTTGCTATAATCTAAAAAGGGAGAAGGTCATTCTTTTTTTAAGGTTATTTATTTTTATTTTTTATGTGTATGAGTAGTTTAACTGCACTTATGTAAGTACACTCGTGTATGCAATGCCTGTGGAGGTCAGAAGAAGGTGCCATATAGCAGGTCTTTCTTAGAGAAAAGTTTTTGCTGTGAGGACCCACAAGGAAATGAACATAAACATGTAACTTTCCATTGTTTACTAATCAATGGTGTGATTCCTTTGATTTCAACAACAGCTGTCTTCTATGTTTTACAAAACCCTAGTCTGGTAGGAAAGAAAATCACACAATTTAAGTGCTTGTATCCATGCAGCTTGTGAAGAGTGTAGGTAGAAAGCTGAAGGTCAGACAGGACTAACCTCAGTGTCCTAGAGAACCTACCACCTTCTCTGTGAGATGGATGGCACTGTGGCAACTCCCGCACTAGATGCCCACCCTTGCCAGCACAGTTGTCTTAAAAGTGGGCCATTGTGAAAACAGTGACCATGGGCCAGGTAGCTCTCTACAACTGAACTATACTGAGGGACCAGGCAGCACGGCCTAACCCTCTAACTCATGATCCCACAGAGATGATGTGACATGCCCAAGGTCATACAACAGTCATTTGTACCGACTATCTTATAACCAAGACATCTCATTTCTTGGTCATGGCTCTTCTCATAAGGTCCTATGAACAGAAAGGAGGATGTGGCAAAATACCTCTGATCATATTTTCTTGAAAAACTGCTTGGTCTGGAGCTACCATTTTAATTCTGGGGAAAGAATTCAGTCAGGCAGGACACAATAGAAACAGTCTAAAGGAATGAGCTTGCAAGAGATGTTGCTCAGGTAAAAGGTAGACCTTTTAAAAATCAACAAAGGTCAAAGTCTTTATGCAATCCTGCATCTATATCCCATGCATGACCACACTGAGAACTTAACTAATTCTCTATTTTTCTTGTAGGTCTAAGACAAATCCTTCCTTTTTCCCTGAAGTGGCACAACTGCCCTCATCATGGCCATGTCGCTCCCCTTGGTGTGAGATTTTTGTGAACTCCACCTACAGAGCACAAAACACGGACTAAAACCCATCACAACCTCATTACTTTCTAGTCTAGAAAGCAAGCTTTAGTTATTAACTTCATATTACCAAGTGGGAAGGAATGCTTCTGTTCCATTTTGTCATACATACACTACTTTTCCTGCGAATAAAATGCCTTCATTTCTTATTTAGTCTAGATTTCTAGCCATGTCTCCCACCACAGGTTTGTAAACCATTTTCAGGCAACTATCAACATGAGCACAGCAAGTTACTATCACTTGCTTCAGTTCTTGGTGCTCGACGGCACTGAATAAATAAAATTAACTATGCTTCCTTAAAGCAGAAAAATGGTGAGCTGTACCTGGTTTGTTCATATCATATAAGCTCTAGGCATTATGCGCAAAGCACATCAGTAACAATGTCATCTATTCATGCACTTATTCGTTGATCTTGGGGTGGCCCAAACTTACTTGAGCATAAAATTTGGTGTGAAAAGTTAGCAAGCAAGAAGCCTGAAGCATCTTTAGGGAGAGAATATTCAGAGACTACACAGAATGTTTGTTATAGGGGACTACTTGCTAAATTTGTTTTTGCATCCAAGTGGGAAGAAAAAGTAGAAATGCCCAAGTTGTGATATAGTAGAGGTGAATCTGTCATCCTTGACTGCCACTTCAGCTAGGCTGCTGATGCCAATGCCAATAGGAGGATGTCTGGTAAGGAAGCACGGAGCCAGGTGAGACAGCGAAGGTGACTGCTTCTGCCCTCTTACCTGCTCAAGCATCAGCTCTCTTAACCGTGCAATCTTCTCCCCATCTTCAGGATGACTTAAAATATATTCTTTGACAAAGAATGCCTAGGAAGAGAAAGGACAGTCAGACTACCTACTGTGGAAGTGAAAGATACAGTTGTTTTTTTTGTTGTTGTTTGTTTTCAAAAGATCTGGCATCTTTCAATAATAGCATGATCATAAAACATGTTCAGTGACAGATGGAATGATTCCTAACTGTGGTCAGGTGGTCATAAGACAACACATGGAAAAGATGTTCAAGGAAAATCAGAGCTTGTATACTAAATACCTTTGGTAAAATAAAAAGAAAACTCAAGTCAATAAACTATAATGTGTTATATCTTAAGATGAGTTGCCTTAAAATTCAATGTGGCTGAGATGATGGTCTCACCTTCCAGGCTATTACATTTTTCTGTTCAGAGCTAAGAGGGCAGATGAAAACTCCACTTAAAGAATCATCAAAAACTGTAAGACTATACCCCGGAACCTCTGCACTCAGACAAATTATTTAGGTCGATAATCTGTTAAACAATTTTGACCTCCTCACTACTTTTATTCATAGTCTCTTTCTCTTCCTCTCTCTCCTTCCCTCCCTCCCTACTTCTCTTTCTTAAAATACCTCATCATAAAGATGGAATATGTGGGCCTCCCAAATGGCTGGTTATATATTTGCTCTATTTTACAAAGTACTACATTTGTGTCACCTGTAGTCATTTGACAAATGATGATACAGGAACATATTTTTGGGGAAAAAAAGATTTTAAAAAATCATAAGGAATCTCAATTGACAACATGCTCTTCATCGACCCTCAGTCCTCACCTCTTGGTACCTGGAGACCCCACCATTCACTGCAGCATCTATGACTCCATTTAGGCACATCGTCAGAGGGTTGATATTCTGCATCTGTCTTGTCTGACACTGACTAATCAGAGTCTTCAGCTGCTGATTCTTATTTTCCAGCACTTCAATTGCATTTTCCAGAGGACTCATTTCTACCTGAAAAGTAAATGAGTGTACAAAATGACTTTTGTGACAATCAAAACCAAAGACAAAATTAATTAAAAAAACCCAAAACACCAAACAAACAGAAAAAGACAAAGCAGGTTATTGACATCCTATATTATCTGTGGTTCCAAGTCCTCCATCAACACCTCTTCCAAGAGTCATTCAGTAGAGCAAAAAAAAAAAAAAAAATGCGGAAGTCAGGGTGTTCATTCACTAGTAAGGTCTGAAAAGAGCAGGCAACTATATCCATTTGTTAAGGTGTGGTTTGGATAATTAGCAATTTTCCCATCTATATTAGCACTGCAATGACCAGTGTACTCATTAAAATAAATCCAAGAATCTCATATTTTTTATTTTCCTTTGAAGGACTAAATATTCAGGGACTCTGAATATTATTATCAGCCCTCTAGATGCTGACATGATGCAAAACACCATGGGAGATACAGAGATGCATTTATAGATCCTCTGGTGTCAAAGAGCTTTAAGCCTCATTGCGGGGGCGGTTGTGCCCATGTAGACCCCATATGTATTTATAACAGCAGCATAAGGTAGCACAGGATGGTACACAGTTGGGAGTTACAGAAAACAATATAATCATATACACTCCAGGATCTGTTGATGCAGAGTCATAATGACTTGCTGGGTTGGTACAGGGGACCTGATTGTGAATACGATTAAGTGTTCTTCACATGTATGGCACTGTGCTATTATTGTCGCTGACATTCTCTTTGAAGTGAATGTCTGCCAAACTCTTAGTGATAAAAGTAATTTGGACTCACAATAAGCAGTTAGATACTTGTCCTTTCAGTTAAAGAAACAAAGTAGGGCAAAAGTCCACTTAGATCATCTCAAAGCAGCTCAATACTTAAATCTTAGGATAAATTAAGTATTGTGAAGACTAAGAATGAATTAAGATCCTATAAAGAGAAGGGACTATAAGCCAGAACTCATGACAAAATAGTGATAATGTGCATAATCATCAAATAAATAATTCCCAGAATACACGAAGACTTCAAAACCAGTAAGAAAGAAAAAGGCAAACAACCCATGAAAATCGGGCACAAGATTTAAACAGCCATTTTATAAAGGAGGACATTCAAATGGCCAGTAAACATCTGAGAAGGTATGGAGCCTCATGTGTGATGGAATATATTAAAAAACAGGGGCTGGAGAGATGGCTCAGCAGTTAAGAGCATTGACTGCTCTTGCAGAGGAATGGGGTTCAATTCTCAGCACCCACATGGAGGCTAAGAACTGTTCTTAATTCCAGTTCCAGGGAATCCGATGCTCTCTTCTGACCTCCGAGGCATTGCATGACACAGGTACACTCCCATACATGCAGACAATACGCTCATATACATAAAATAAAAATAATAAAATATTATTTTAAAAAGGAGTATATGAAAAACAGTAACACAGTAGCTTACTACAAAACACCACTGGAATGGTGAAAATACAAGTGATAGTAGCAAATGGGGATGCAGCTTTGAGCAACAGAGTGGTCACTGCTGCTCCCAGAGGTTCAAACTGGCTCACTGGAAAACAGTTGGGGGGTCTCTCTCTCTCTCTCTCTCCCTCCCTCCCTCCTATATTCATAATGTTATTTATACATGTTCTATTTCATGGTTCAGAAATTCTACTCCTACGTATATATCTGAAAAAAGATGGAGATGAACATGTATATACATGTACAACAGTAAACATACAAAAATGTTTGTAGATAGGCATGGTGGAGCACACCTTTAATCCCAGTGCTCAGGAGCCTGAGGCAAGCAGATCTCTATGAGTTCTAGGTCAGTCAGGTCTATAGAGTGAGACCCTACCTCAAAAAAAAATTGTCCCCAAATCACTGTTTATCAACAAGAGAACACATAAACATTGTGGCTGCTCATACAATAGAATAGTATATAGCAATGGGAAGCACCCGAGCCATGTTTAATAAAATTGAAAAATAGCACAAATAATACTGAGAGAAAGAAGCAAGTCTTAACAGAGCATGCGTAAACACTGTTATATAAAGTTCAAACCCAAGAAAAGTAAGCAAGAAAGTAGATACTATTAAGGTCAGGGTATCTTGAGGGTAGAGACAGGGACTTGTAATTTGGAAAGGATGCATAAGAGGCCTCCTATGTTGTTACTGGAAATGATCTGTTTCTTTACTTGAATGGTAAGTGGGTATCTATTTATCTATTCTTTTTTTTTTTGGTGTGCTTTTTTGAGACAGGGTCTCCTTGTAGCCCCCGCTGGCCTGGAACTCACTATGTAGACCAATTTGGCCTTGAACTCATGGAGATTCACCTACCTCTGCCTCCAGAGTGCTGGGATTAAAGGCGTGTGCCACCATGCCTAGCTTATTCATTTTTATTGTTTATGATATTAAGGCTTTGTTTTATGTGCACAAAAGCCAAACTGTAAAGCAAAATCTGAATGCTGTACATCAGAGTTAAAAAGTAAAACAGCAAGGACTGTCTGGGAGGAAGACATCAAAGTGGCTGGCCTATGCTCCATGTACCCCCTGTACTGGAGAAGTTCCCTGGGGCACTGCAGAACAAACAGGTGATCAAGTCTCTCCTAGTCAACTAAACCTTCGTGTGAATGGACTAAGAATAATTGCTAGGAGGAAGAGCCTTTATCTCTGGAGTATCCTTAGTAGGAAGGTGGTAGCCAAAGGATTATCTTAAAGTAGATAAACCTAGAATCTATAAGAAAATGCCTCTAAAAAGTTTACAATAATTCTGTGGAGTATGAAGTGGAAGTTTCCTAATATACACTCACACACTTGTAACTTAGACAAGCTCCCTCTGTGAGGAGCCCTGTGAAACTCACAGCCTTCACCTGTTATCTCAAATTATTGTTGTTAACATGGGCTAGAAGGACTTGGAGGATGACACTTGAGTCTCAGAATGCCCTATTCTTCACCTGAACATCTAGATGAACTTAAAATTATTAGAAAAAATTTGACGCTGAGAAAAAACAATGACTCCTATCTAAATGGACAGTCTGATATGTATTAGTTCAATAACAATGTATGTAGAGAAGTCCTTTTAGACTCAGAAGGCACTCTGAAGAGGATCCCAAGTGCAAAGATCAAACAGTTGAAAATTAATAATGAATTTGAGAGGAATACATTAATAATGGATTAAAACAAAAAATGTTTAAATCTATGGTCTAGTAATTATAGTAAAAACCAAACTAAGCCAAATCAAACCGAAGTGGCCTTCTGGTTACTTCTGTAGGGTAATAATGATTTAAATGATCATTTTGAATACAATCAGTGAAGGGAAAGAACAGAACTTTATACTTCCTTTCCCATATCGCAGAGTAATCAAATATGTGATGACGGGGTATTTCTCATCAAAGAAGTATAGCAATGAAAAAATAAAGGCAGATGATAAAATATCAACAATTTTTAAAAAATATTTTATTATTTTTATTTTATGTGTTTGCACATATTGCCTGCATGTAGGTAAGTGCACCCTTAGGTATGTGTACTGCATGTAGGTAAGTGTCGTGCAATGCCTGTGGAGAACAGAAGAGACTGTCAGAGTCCCCTGGGACTAGAGTTATGGACAGTTGTTAGTTGCCATGTGGGTGCTGAGATTTGAACCCGGGTCTTCTGCAAGAACAACCAGTGTTCTTAACCGTGGAGCCATCTCTCTGGCCCCAAAATATCAATAATTTTAATCCCTAAAAGATTACTGGTTTGGGTAATGATTATCAATAACCTATCATCGATATTTCTGTTTATATCATTAGAAAAGAGAAAGAGCGAGAGAGGGGGAAGAGAGGAAGGATAGAGAGAGAGCAAGAGAGAGGCTCGAAGCACCTATGAAATAGTCTTGCAAAAACAAAATCTTACCAAGCCTCTGGGCTTAACTATCAATTTATAAGAAATGTAGGCGACAGAGAAACATGTTAAATGACCCTCCTTGGATCAAGACTTAAGGAAACATTTCAGGGTAAACCACTGTGGTTCTTCAATCAAAATAATTCAAGAAAAAAATGATGCAAGGGGGAACCTCTAGAGTGAAAAGGATTTAGGAGATATTGCAAATAATTGCAATGCACAGCTCTCAAGTGGATCTGGAGTCAAACAGTGAGAAAGAAATCAAACGGACTCTCAGTGAAGCATAAAGGAACACTAGATATTTTAAAATCAATAGACTATTATTCTCATATATATAACAATGATACAGTTGTTTTATAAATTCACATATGTGATATTTGTGGATGAAACTGTATAATTAATGTTTGAGACTTGTTTAAAAATAATCTGGTATAAGGAGTGGGTAAAAGTGCAGATAAAGGGGCTGGAGAGATGGCTCCATGGTTAAGAACACTGGCTGTTCTTGCAGAAGACCTGGGTTTGAATCCCTGCACCCATATGGCAACTAATAACTGTCCATAACTCCAGTACCAGGGGATCTGATGGCCTCTTCTGTCCTCTGAGGGCAATGTATGACATGGGTGTAGTTACACACATGAAGGCAATATGTACATAGACATAAGAAAAAAAAAGTGCAGATAAAAAAAAAATAGGCCCTCTTTATCTTCACATAGATGGAACTGGTAAAAGAAAGGAGCCAGGGGCTCCTCCCAAGCCCATGTGACCCCTGAGGAACAGATCCTCAAACGACCTGAAGAGTAAAAATAAATTGGTTTATCTGGGCCAACTGCATGGTCTTAAACGCCCAAAAGGAAAGTATAACCAAAAAGTAAAGTAATCAATATAATTCTTTAAGAGTCCATGTGTATAGCTAAAGGCTACGTAACAAGAAACAATGCCAGACAGGAGATACCTTCCTTTGAGTTGTTGGTCAGCGTGACCCAAGAGACCCCCAGACAGTAACCTAGCATAGAACTGGGAAAATGAACAGTAGACCCCAATCTTATCTAAAGGAATGTTGGCAACTGATTGCTGCTAAATGAGGAAGAGCTGATCTTCCTAAAACAAGGAACTCTAGATAGGCTGACTAGACTCAGAGGATGGC